CAACATGAAACAGATCAGCAGCAACATGAAACAGATCAGCAGCAACAGGATGTGATTTGTCACAGTGATTATCCTGGTTAGAGATTCATGACTCCAACAGCCTCAGGGTAGAAGCTATAAGTGAGGTTAATAACAAGGCTGAGCTTTGTCGCTCCTTTTACTAAAACATCGCTGTGTTTTGCTTATTTTGTCTTTGCCGTACAAAAAAAGTCACAGCATGTTGTTCCTAATGGAGCCACAAACAAATGATGTTTGTAAAGAGAAGGAAATGAAAACCAAAAAAATGTGAGGAAGTAAATAGAATAAATGGGTGTAAAGTTTCCAGAAAGACTGTATTTTCTGTGAAAGTGTCCAGTGAACGCTGAGCACTGAATGACTTTGGTCAAAGAAACTAAAACTGAACTGAAATTTAAAAAAGCTAAACATTAGCTAAAAGCTAACACAAGCAGAGCACTAACTAAATATGCTAAAAGTAGAAAAACGCTAGTTAAAAACTTAAGCATAGAAGAGCCAACAGTAGTAAAAGCTTAGCTAAAAGTAACAAAACAATAGCTAAAAGCTAAATGTAGCAAAAAAACTGGCTAAAATTAGCAGAACAATACCTCATAGCTAAAATAGCAAAAACCTAGCTAGAAGTTACAAAACACATAAGGATAGCTATAAGCTAAAAGGTGCTATTGCCTTACTGTAAGATAAATGTTGAAAAAAGAAATGTAGGCAGAAAACTAGCTAAAAGGTAAAATCAGTAAATTCTAATTATATGTGTAAAACGGCTAAAAGACGGTAGCATAAAGCCAACTAAAAGTGAGTAAAATGCCAAAGAAAGTAGATAAATTTAGCAAAAGACTAACTGAAAGTTAAAAGTAACGAATGCTGAAGTAGCAACAACTAACAAATAGCTAAAAGTAGCAAAAGTTTTGCTAAAAGTAACAAAATAGTAGCTAAAAGCTAAATGTAGCACAAAAAAACTGGCTAAACATAGCAGAACAGTACAACAAAGCTAAAAATGGCTAAAATTTATCTAAAAACTAAACGCAACTAAAAATTAACTAGAGTAAAAGCAGCCAAAGAAAAGCTAAAACTTGCTATAGGTTAGCTAAAAGTTATTAAAAGCACAAAGTATGTTTTTGCAGATAAGAGCTGTTTATTTATTTCTGCGGGGAAAATATTAGTAAATAAAGTACAATATTTAAAAAATTGTGGTCAGAGGCCCCATCTCCTGAATGAGCCGAACATTTTGATACGAGAACAGTTGAATGAGCACAAAGTAAGCAGAAATGGTTGAACTCTAAATTAAAGAAAAACATGGAAAAATAAAAACAGGGAAACAGGAGAGTGGAAGCAGAATCAGCGCTCACACGGTGTTTGATGTTTATGAATAAATATCCAAAATTTAACCCTTTGGATCAACATTCAGTTTGTTTCGGCTTTAGCTGTTTCCAGAAGCAGATTTGCGCTCGTTGTCGTTCTGTCATCTTTAATATGAACCTTTCGGTTTTAGGGGTGGCTTCGCTGCAGGATGCTGTAAAGACAGTTGCCTGGCAACAGCTTTTGGCTGAAGGTTTGAGCAGTTTGTTTGGAGTCCATCTCTTTTTTTTAAAGTGTTTCAGTCCAAACCGTTTGGCTGTAGATGTCGTAGTCGCGCTCCAAACGTCACTGTTTTCTGTGGTTATCCTTCTCCAGGATGGATGAGCTCATGTGGCGATGAATGAAACTCTCCGATGGATTATTACGTGTTCGGCTTCTGTAACGCGCAGCAGCGAAGGCTAGTGACGGGCCAGCCGCGCTCGGTTCGATAAGGAGCTTAGAGAGAAGAGCCGGAGGTCATTTTGTCCGATTTCTGTAGAAAGACACGTTTGGGTGAGGCGGAGAAATCATTCACATCTCAGAGGAAAAACAAGATCTTTCGCTCTCTCTCGTACAAAATGAAACATTTGTTCATCGAAATTAAATATTTAGAGCAGTTCTCTCTTCTCCAAATTAATCCTTTGATTCTCTAAAACTGCATGAAGGGATTATACAGGAAAATTCAAATTATTCATATATCTCCGCCACCCGCCGAGCTGCTAATGTTATTAAAACATCATGTTCCCAAATATTTGATCTGACAAGTTCAACCTGACCAGAAGATCCAAATGCTCTGATGTCGTGTTTTAAACTTTATTTATTTTTAATCAACACAAAACTTACTTTTGTCCATTTATAAAGTTTTTGTTGTTGCTGTTTATATATCAAAACATTCAGCTCTTTTAGGAGACGGGTGCAGAGGCTTTTGTTTTTATGTAACTTATCTTTTTTATATATTTATCTGTATTTTACAAATATTTTCTCCGTTGGAACACGTCGAGATCTCCTCTTTGAAATCCGTACTTGTGCTGCTTTTAGTAGCAACCGTTCAACTATTTTTAACTTTTAGCTAGACTTTCGTTACTTTTAATGGTAATTTAGGCTAGCCTTTTGCTACTTTTAATTTTGTGTTACTTCTAGCTGTCTTTAATACTTTAAATAAGCCTTTTTTATTGTTTAGCTACCCTTTTGCTACTTTTGAAGAGTCTTGTTAATCACAATAATTGTTAATCACAATTTTAATCACCTTTAGCTATGTTTAGTAAGCCTTTTGCTACTTTAAGCTAATCTTTTACAACTTTAAGTAAGTTTTTGTTACCTTTAGCTAGTCTTTTACAACTTCTAGCTAGTTTTTTTAGTTTAGCTCCTATTAGCTTTTAGCTAGAATTGTGTTAATTTTAGCTCGTGTTTTGCTACTTGTAGTTTTTAGCTAGCATTTTGATTAGTTTAGTGTCAAAAATTCGGTTTCAAATTTCCCCAGATTTGTTCAGCACAGCGCTCAGAGTGTATTCTCAGAAAATCTAATTTCTCCAGTTACAGTATCTATTAATTTTTTATTTATTTTGGCTTTACTGTAACTACACCACACATGGTTTGTAATAAAAGCATAAACTAAAAATATGTGAAGTCTAAAAGCTTTATTTTAATCCCTCAATAGTACCTTCCCCCTCATTGTGTTGGAAAAAAAAACATACAGTACTAACCCTCCTGCTTTGGGTCAAAACGGCCTCAAGGCCTCAGGTGCCACTTTGACTCAAGGGCAGCAGGAGGTTTAACTCTAATACGACACAAGTTACTAGACTCTTTTTTCGTTCAAGTCGTCAGTGCAACGTTCGAGGAGTGACAACGGAGTGAAACTTTGTGCGCGAGGCGTTCACTGCAGCGTGGAGCTTCTCGAGATGAATAGAAAACCCTCAGATTTCAGTTTCAGTTTCAAACTCTCAACCACAAACGACTCGAATCACTCCTCCGTGTTTAAGATTCCACAAAGCGTTCTCTGAAGCCCCCTGTATTATTTACAGGCTGAAATTTAAAATGAGCTTTAAGGTTGTCCAGAACCAGGAGGAGCAGAAACATCCCAGCTCTCATTAATGTGCTGCACAACCACTGACCCATTACCTCCTGCACATGGGCAGGAGGTATCAAGGCTGCTGTGATGTCATTCCTTTTATTCCATGAGTAATGACGACTATCTGCCTCACCTCCATCGTTTGGCATGTAGGAGCAGCAATAACAGACAAAGAGGGCGGGGCTTGTATTGTAGGCCTGACAGAGGTTATGTAAACCAGATTACTGGACAGGAAGTGCTGTGGCATTAGCAACGCTTAACCCAGCCCATACTTTACTCCTTACTTGGGACCTGTGTGTGTGTGTGCGTGTGTGAGCTTAGTCGTGGGAAGCGTGGTTTGTTTTGTGATTCATCACACCGTGCGAGTAGTGGTGCGTCACAGTGACACACAGGAAGTGATTCGTCCTGCAGGGACCCGGTTTGAATGCTAATCCCCTTACAGCATGATGTCACTGGTCAGCGGGGTCAGCCGTTACAAACACAAACAAAACAGACAGGAACTTTAACTTTACCACATGTAAATAAATAAAATTTTAAAGAAGTGTGGAATTAAAGGTAATGTTAGAGGTTTTCTTTTGCATTAGA